CTCCTGGTCTCTCATGCAGGTGCAGGGCCCAAGGACTTGGGCCATCCTCCACTGCCTTCCCGGGCCACAGCAGAGAGCTGGACTGGAAGAGAGGCAAACCAGGACAGAATCCAGCACCCTGACCGGGACTAGAACCTGGGGTGCCGGCACCGCAGATGGAGGATTAGCCTAGTGAGCCGTGGTACCGCACCCCCCCCCATAAACTTTTTCAAGTTCCTTCATACATCCATCCTTTGATTTGTCACAGAGTGGTGGTTGCCAGATGTCAGTATCAAGAATTGGTTAAGGTAGTGTTAAGGAAGCGACACTGATGGCAAAATTCTTGGAAAGCAAGTGGCTCAGTGCTAGAGGCTAAATTAGCTGAGGATGCTGAGAGACCTGTGTACAGCTTGGATGGGTGTATTAATCAGGGCGCACGGGAAGGTGACTGGGTCACCACCGCAGGTCAGCAGTACTTTAACATCCCAGGTAGGTTTATTTCTTAGACGTCCAAAGTCAGTGTGGATGCCCTGGTGGGGGGAGTATCCTGGACTTGTGAAGGTGTTGCTCCAGGCTGCTTTCTTAGTGTGTCTCCATTTCCACAGAGGACAACAGGGAGGGGAACCATGGGTTGCACACATCACTTCCTCTCATGTTTCCTGGGTCAAAGCAGAGCAGGTGACTATTTTTAACATCTGGTGGTGGAGGACTCAGAGTTGCCCACATATTCAAGATATTTCAGTCACAAATTAGTTTTGAAAAGCATTTATAATCTTCAGGTCTTTTATGTATGCTACACTGTTTACACAAGACAATTCATGGCATGTTTTTGTCGCGTATTTTTCTGTTTTCTCTCTCTGTAGCCTGAGATACATGTAATTGTTCGTATTTTCTGCTTTATACTTCAGCAACAAACTCTTTTTTATGATTCATTTCATCTTCTATAAACATCGTTTTGAATTACTAATATTTTCTGGCTGGTTTTAGTTGTATAAGAGCACATGCAATTAATTTCAGCCTGCTAAAGAATATTTTCTTAATTATTGCTGACTTTAGTTTTATTGTATCTTCCGTGACTAGCACAGGAATGTGAACCCAGCAGCTAAATATGCATTTGTGGAGTGAATTAATAAACGACTATTGGAACTTCAGCTTCTATAACCAATAAATCAATTGCTTTGTTATGTTACTAGGGATCAACATAAAACAGGCAAACTAAAGCAATTAGCTGGTAGCTCAGTTGACTTTGTGAAGCACGGGGGAAGCGCTTTTCACTCTCAGGCCTACGCTGCGTGTGGGGACTGCAGTTCATTACCTACAAGGACAGAGGCCCCCGGGACCTGCAGAGCAGCTCAGGGCCCTCTGTGCTCCTTTGTTCTTTCCCTCTGGGGAAACAGAACAGTCACATGATTTCTGCCCATCTGCTGAGGTGGACACCACACCTAATATTTAACTGAGGGGGATCTCAGAGTCAGGGAGCTGAGATTAGATCCCAACACAAGGAAGATCTGCAGGGTGCTCCTGGCCAAGAGGGCTTGACATTTCCAGCAGTGCCACTGAACTGATTTCCAGCCCAGGTGAGCCACTGTCACTGCTATGGTGGGGGGGTTAGGAAATGAGAAAGGAGCAGTCAGACGAGTGGAATCTCAGGATGTACAATCTGTCTCTGGGCTTGAAGGAGACTTGTGCCAAGTGCCCAGCACTGCATCTAACAGGCTGTGTTCTAAGATGCAGAAATCGCTCCCTCTCCAGACTCGGGCATCCCGCAATGTGCACTTACTGCAGAATTTGTGCTGTGAAGTACACTTAGACACTCACATGTTAGGATACAACTGATATTATGATGAATTTGTTGCAGAAATCTATGCAGACAATTTCATTTTTATATCCCAGCAGTAAATTTCAAAAATACAGCATGTTGCACAAAAGGTCTCCTGACATTTATTCCTCTCATCCAACTGTGCATTTGCTAGTTAGGCTTAGCCTTTCCCCAACATATGGATATTTTAAAACATCACGATGTACAATGATAGCGTTGTGTATTGTTATCTTTAAATTTCAAAAATACACAAAATTCCTCTTACTGAAGGCATACAAAGTTAGGTAGTATATTGCTAAAGTTAGGTAGTATATTGTAGAGTTTAATTATTTTCACAAGTTTGAATGTTTTGTTCTCAGAATAGTGGTCAGCTTAATGAAACTATGACCCAATGAGAATTTGCATCTGTGTATTAATGTATTTCTTAAATACTGCTAAATTTCATTATCAAAGAGAGAGAGAGATAGAGACAGAGAGAAAGTCAGAGAGAGAGAGAGATACACAGAAAATGGAGAGAGGCAGAGACAAGAGAATGAGAGAGATGTGTTTCCCCACAATCAATTAATCATTATTTGGCCACAGCCACAAGAATAGAAATGTATGGATCCTGCCATAATTGTAGCCAAACTTCAGGATGACACAGCAACCCAATGGCCATGGGGTGTGGAAAGCAAGAAATACAAATTTATCATAAATCTATGATGGTGGGATTAGACCTATCTTTATTATTACATTATTGTGTTTCATATATGTCTTCAATGATCTATAACACAAAATATATTAATATAATGAAAATTATAGATATTTATAAATATAAGGCAAGGGCAGGCATTTAGCTCAGCGATTAAGATGTTGGGTGAGACACCCATACGCCATTTTGTGGCACCTGGGTTCAATGCTTCCCACCAGCTACTGACTTCAGCTTTCTACCAATGCAGATCCTGGGAGGCAGCAAGAGACAAATCAAGTAGCGTGGTCCCCACACCCATGTGGGAGATCTGGATTGAATTCCCAACTCCTGTCTGACCTGACCATTCTCAGTCATTGTGGGCATTTGGAAGATTGCACGAATGAATGGGTAGACACATACACACACACACACACACACTCTGTCTCTCATAAATAAAAATATAAAACTCAACACAACTGAATCCATGATATCATTTCCAAGAGAAAATCCAGATGGACAAGTTTTGTACACATGACACTGTTTCTTGCAGAGGTGATCCCCATCAGGCAAAGGTGGATTCAGGTAAGAAAATGCGGTGAAGACCCGGTACAGTCTGACAGGACAGAGTGGACATTCTGTCATTAATTCTGGGTGCTTTGTAGAGCTCAGATCAGAGATAGAGGTAGAACAGAGATAGAGGTAGAACAGAGATGCTGCCCCTGTCCATGACTTGGCTCTCACTTTCTCCCTGCCATGCAGAACTTCTAGGAGCTAACAGAGTCCTTTGGCTCAAGATTTCCTCTTCTATGACATGAAATAATCCTACTCTGGTTCTTGTTAATAAAACAATGCTTTTCTCATATGTAGTAAATCTCATCTGAAAAAGGTGAATCCCTTGTGGCATGTGGCCTCTGTCCACTTGCTCTCTGAGCTTTATAAAGCTTTGTACTTCTCTTCCCTATGTGAGGTGCATGGAGGCCATGGCTAACCCCCTATGAAGTTGCTGTCCTGTAGCAGTCCCTTGTAGTGTTCCTCAAATTCTTGCCTGGATTGCCCACTTTTAAAATCTGATGTTCAAATCTGTAACTCAGTTTCCAGTCATTTAATTTTCTGTGTGCTCACTTCCATTCATATTCTTGGTGGATCTGCAAGCCAGAAACGTAATATGCTAGGATCGTGTTTCTTAACTCAATTTAACGCTACAACTGCCTTCCATCCTTTCTACTTGCCCAGGAAACAAAGCTTTAAAATCATCACACAGATCATCATTCGTCATCATGACTCATTTCTATTTTTATTTATTTCTTGGTTGACATTTATGTATTATGCCTAGCTGATAGATGAGGACATCAAGGATTAGATAACAATGCTGGGGTTTTGTTTTCCATGATGTCCGTGTCCAAGCTGACTGTTTTCTGCTGAAAGGTAACAGGAGCCATTATACTTTATCCCTTTAATCAGGACCTTAATCCTCTCAATGAGATTTCTTAACTTGGCATGTTGACCCTGTTTACTTAGATAAGAAAAGTGGCTCAGCATGTTAGAGTGGTTTACTTAAGAGTTAATTACATTACTTTATCTAGGGTGAAGAAACCATGTGCCCATCCTAGATTTGCTTTTTTTTTTTGCATTCATTTATTTACTTTTTAAAGATTTATTTATTTGAAAGGCAGAGTGACAAAGAGTCAGAGAGAGAAAGAGAGAGAGAGAGAGAGAGGTCTTCCACCACACTGGTTCACTCCCTAAGTGACCACATGGACTCGAGCTGTGCTGATTGAAACCAGGAGCCAGGAGCTTCTTTCCAGTCTCTCACATGGGTGCAGGTGCACATGGACTTGGGCCATCTTCTACTGCTTTTCCAGGTCATAGCAGAGAGCTGGATAGGAAGTGGAGCAGTCGGGACTCTATTGGCACCCTTATGGGATACCTGCCCTGAAGGTGGTGACTTAACCCATTACACCACAGCACCAGCTCCTATATACTTATTTTCAAAGTCAGAGTGTCTCCTGTGCACGGTGCTTCCTCAGACTCCAGGGTTTGCTAATGACTTCAGGTTCTCCTTCAGGGTTTACACTGAAAACAATAGGACTTTGATCCTGAGATTACCTGAATTTCATTTTTCCCCACTAACATCACCAAATAATAAAAATATGCCTTGTTGAAGGATTATGTTGTAGATAAGTGAAAGCTAAGGTTTGGATCTAGCATTTCCTATTGCAAGACTTTTGGAGAGCTGCTGTGACTATCACTGCAGAGGTGTGCTGCGAGGAACATGAACCATGTGAGGGAGCTCTGTGAACGCGTCCACTGGGGATGTTGTGATTACAGATCTCAGAGGCAAATTCCAAGGGAGCTGTCTTAAAAATATTGTTTTGACATAAAAACGCAGCCTTAGAAACAGAGATTGTATCTTATGGAACTAAGGTGAAGGGACACATTCCCGAAAGGCCTAGAAAACTAACAATGCTTACTTTCTCTAAACAAATTTAAGCCAAATCTTTCTACAAAATCCATTCATAATATCTCACCTTGCATCCAACCCCAATGCAAAAGCAAGAGGAATGACTAACAAAAGTTTCCCAGTAGGCTTCATCCTTCTTGGGTTCTCTGAATGGCCCCAGGAAGAGTCGGTTCTTTTCTGGATTGTGATCATGCTGTACCTCATGACGATCCTGGGCAACTCCACCATCATCTTGCTCTCGTGCATGGACCCTCGTCTCTACACCCCTATGTACTTCTTTCTTAGCAATCTCTCCTTCTTGGATATCTGCTTCACCACAATCCCGGTGCCCCAGATGCTGTCAAACCTGTGGGGGCCAGACAAGAGCATCACCTATGCAGGCTGTGTTATGCAGCTCTGCATGTTTCTCTGTGTTGGGGCCACAGAAGGCGTCCTGCTGGTGGTCATGGCCTTTGACCGCTATGTGGCTGTCTGCCAGCCTCTGCGCTACACCACCATCATGCACCGTCCACTCTGTTGGAAGCTGGTGCTTATGGCCTGGCTGTGTGGCCTGATGGAGTCTCTGACCCAATCTCCCATCACACTCCAGCTACCCTTCTGCTCCCATCACCACCTGGACAGCTTTATGTGTGATGTTCCTGCCCTCCTGCGCCTGGCCTGTGGAGACACCTCTGCCACTGAGTGGCAGATGACCATTTCTGCTGTCATCTTCACCATGCTGCCTGTGGGGTTGATCCTGACTTCTTATGGATGTATAGCTCAAGCAGTAGTAAAAATGAAGGCAGAGGAGGGGAGGCAGAAAGTCATTGCCACCTGTTCCTCCCACCTCTTTGTGGTCTTCATGTTGTATGGCACAGTGGCAGTTGTGTACATAAACCCTAAGACCAACTTTACTTCAACATATGGCAAGTTCTTCACCTTCTTCTACACTGTGGTCACACCCATGCTGAACCCTCTCATCTATACTCTGAGAAACAAAGAAGTGATGGGTGCTCTTCAAAGAGTGTTGAGAAAGGGGATCTGCATAAGCAAAAGTAGATGATTGAGAATTTGGACCAGAAAGGAAGTTGAAAGTCATGACTGCTACTTACTCATTTTTTAGTCTTTAAATATTTCCCCAAAGGAAGTTTTGATCAAAAAGACTAAATTATTTTCATTTTTATCCTTGATACTTTAAATATCACCTTGCTAAGTAAATATCCAAATGCAATACCATTTGTGTCATACAATAAGTGTTCAAAATGTAGTTGTCTTGGGTAAATATTAATTTCAACATTAACTTTTGAGGCATATATATTATTTTTATGCAACTTAATAATGATGAACAGAACATTCTGGAATTTATAAAAAATATGTTTGATGTTATTTGGGATTTAAAGTTGAAAATATAATAATAATTCATGGGGAGGACTGTATACCATAGATTAGCTTAGACAAACCTGAAAGGGGGGATTTCCTTGGAGTTTCCCTGAGTTCTTACTACATTTGCAGCCTTTCCTTTTTAATTTGTTTGTGTTCATGACACAGAGAGTGGAGCCTACCTGCATTTTGGGTATGCTCTTCCTCAGCTGGAGTTTTCAGAAGATGAAACTTCTCCTTTGAGGTGCCTCAGAGGCACTTGAAACCTAACAAAGGGTGCAAGCACTCTTATTACTGAAGACCTGCAGCTTTCTATGTCTAATCCAAACTTAATGTCACCTCCGTGTGGTTAAAAATGTTAATATATTTCTCAAATTTATTTTTCTATGTACACACTAGCAAGGCAATTTTCCTAAGAGAAAATATGTATAAAATATCTCACATAGATATAGGTGTTGATTATTGTGTTTTGAAAATGTGGAATCAGAATATTGCCTATATCCAATTGAGTTTTCAAAAGGGACTTGGATATTGAATATCAACTTTTTTATTTATATAAGGTGAACAAATCTCATGTATTTCATATATACAGATATATGAGCATAGTGATATTTCCCACCCTACCCTTCCTCCCACCCATGACCCCACACTCCATCCTTCCTCTCTTATTCTTTCTATTTTTGCAATGACATACTTTCAGTTTATTCTATAATCATAAGATTAACCCTCTACTAAGTAAAAATTCAACAAATAGTAGGAAGAAAAAAACTCTGGTCTTCCACAGTAGAGACTAGGGTTGTAAACAATAATCAATTCTCAAAATATCGATTTTGCTCATATACATTACATTTTTAGGTACTCTATTAATTACCAAAGGTCAGGGAAAACTATGGTAATTGTCTTTTTTGGGAATGACACATTACACTAAGGATAATGGTTTCTAGTTGTATCCATTTCATTGCAAAAGACAGGATTTCATTCCTTTTTATGGCTGAGTAGTATTCCATAGTGTATATATATCACATTTTCTTTGTTGAGTAGTTGGTGGATGGGCAACTGGATTGATTCCATATCTTAGCTATTGTAAATTGAGCTGCAATAAACATTGAGGCACAGATAACTCTTTCACATGCTGATTTCATTTTCTTTGGGTAAATTTCCAGGAGTGCAATGGCTGGGTCATATGGTAGGTCTATATTCAGATTTCTGAGGTGTCTCCATACTGTCTTCCACACTGGCTGTACCAGTTTACATTCCCACCAACAGTGGATTAGGGCACCTTTTCCCCCACATTCTTGCCAACGTTTATTGTTTTTGATTTCTATATGAAAGCCATTTACACGGGGTTGAGGTGAAACCTCATGGTGGTGATGGCAAGTGATCCTGAGCATCTTTTCATCTATCTGTTGACCATTTGAATTTCATCTTTTGAAAAATGCCTGTCGATTTTCTTTGCCTATTTCTTGACTGGATTATTTATATTGTTTGTAGTTGAGTTTCCTGAGTTCTTGATATGTTCTGGATATTAACTCCTTATCAGTTGCATAGTTTGTAAACATTTTTCTCCCATTCTGTCAGTTGTGTCAGAAGTCAAAGAAATACCTTCAGGGAAGGAATCTCTCAATCTATGAAAATTATCCTTTAAAAGATATAGAGGAGCTGGTGCTGTGGTGTAGCGGATTAAGCCACCACCTGCAGTGCCCGCATCCCATATGGGTGCCAGGTCGAGACCCAGCTGCTCCACTTCCAATCCAGCTCTCTTCTATGGCCTGGGAAAGCAGAAGAAGATGGTCCAAGTCCTTGGGCCCCTGCACCTGCGTTGGAGACCCAGAAGAAGTTCCTGGCTCCTTGCTTCAGATTGGCGCAGCTCTAGCTATAGTGGCCAATTGGGGAGTGTACCAGTGGATGGAAGATCCACCCCCTCGTTCTTTCTGTGTGTAACTCTGACTTTCAATACATAATTTTTTAAAAAAAAGATATAGAAAAAACTGATCCCCTGGTTGCACAAAATTCAACAGAGTCACAAAAGAAGTAGTAAAAGACAGAGCCATACAATGGCCTAAATAAACAAAATAATGCCTTAGTATCAGATTCTGAAGAAATGGAGACTGACAGAATGCTTGATAAAAAAAATCAAAAGAATAATTCTGATGTCACTCAAAGAGATACAAGAGAATGTATACAGACTACTAAATGAAATTAGGAAACTGAGGCATGATGGGAATGAGATTGAGATATTGAAAAAGAACCTAACAGAAATATTAGATATGAAGATCTCCATCAGTCAAAAAATAGCAGGGTAAGTAAAGCAAAAGAAAAATATCTGAATTTGAAGATGGGCCTGTGAAAATGTCAGTCAGACAAAAAAAAAAATAGGATAAAACAAATGAGAAAGAATGAAAATAGCATTCAATCTCCTGGACACCATTAAATGAGCCAGTATGAAAGTTTGGGAGTCCCTGATGAAACAGAAAAGAGAAGTGGCTTAGAAAATTTATTCAGTTAAATAATAGCTGAATATTTCCTTAATCTTCAGGAATATATGGAAATCTAAAATTAGGAAACCCATAGAATCCCCCCAAAGACAGAAAAGAACACTTCGTACAACACATTCTGGTGAAACTTTCCAATTTATAACACACAAAAAAATCTTAAGTTTCCAAGAAGAAAACACCAGGCTACTTGTAAGGGAACTCCCATTGTATGACAGCAGACTTTTTCAACAGAAACCTCAAAGTTCAGGAAGGAATGAAAAAATACATTCCAAGTTTTGAACAACAATAGCAAAAAACTGTTAACCCAGAATACTTGACAAACCCGTAGATGAAGTTTCTAAACAAAGCTATCAAGGGAGGGGAAATAAAGACTTCCCAAACAAGCAAAAACTTGTGGAGTTCATCACCATTTGACCAGCCTTACAGATGATACTTAAAGTGGGTTGGGTTCAACTCAAACTTGGAATGCCTGCATACCATGTCAGAGTGATTGGGAAAACCCAGCTTCCTGCTAATGAGCTTGGGAGGCAGCAATTCATGTCCAAAGCACTGGGTATCTGCCGCCCACTGGGAGATCCAGATGGAATTCCTCATTCCTACCTTAAGCCTGGCCCAGCCTCAGGTTGTTGTGGGCATTTGGGAAGTGAATCAACAGATAAAATCTCAATCTCTCTCTCTCTCTCTCTGTCTCTGTCTCTCTCTCTTTCCCTCCCTCCCTCTTTCCTTCTCTCTGTGTCACTCTACCTTTCAAATAAATAAATATAAGTAAATCTTTAGAAGCAATAAATCTTGGGGCTGGCACTGTGGTGCAGTGGGTTAAGCTACCATCTTCAGTGCCAGCATCACATATGGGTGTCAATTCAATTCCCAGTTGCTCTGCTTTCCAACCTGCTCCCTGCTAATGGAACTGGGAAAGCAATGGAGGCTGACCCAAGTGCTTTGGCCCCTACACCCATGTGAGTCCCGGAAGAAGCTTCTGGCTCCTGGCTTCAGACCAACCCAGCTCTGGCCATTACAGCCACTTGGGGAGTGAACCAGTGAACGGAAAATCTCTCTCTGTCTCTTTTCTCTCTATATGTAACTCTGCCTTTCAAATAAATAAAGAAATCTTTTAAAAAAGGAATAAGAAACAATAAATCTTTAGAAACAAAGGAAGGTAACTTCTATCATTAACATCAGTGAAAATATAACTTACTAGAAAGAATAATGGATATTTATTTTTTTCAACTTTTATTTAATAAATATAAATTTCCAAAGTAAAACTTCTGGATTATAATGGCTTTTCCCCCCATAACCTCCTCCCAATTGCAACCATCCCATCTCCCACTCCCTTTCCCTCTCCCATCTCATTCTTCTTTAAGATTCATTTTTAATTATCTTTATATACAGAGGATCAACTCAATATATACTATGTGAAGATTTCAACAGACTGCATCCACAAAGACACACAAAGTATAGAGTACTGTTTGAGTAGTAGTTTTACCATTGATTCACATAGTACAACACATTAAGGACAGAAGTCCTACATGGGGAGCAGGTGCACAGTGACTCCTGTTGCTGATTCAACAATTGACACTCTTGTTTATGATGTCAGTAATCACCTGAGGCTCTTGTCATGAGCTGCTAAGGGTATGAGACCCTCTTGAGTTCACCAACTCTGATTTTACTTAAACAAGGCCATATTCATAGGGGAAGTTCTCTCCTCCGTTCAGAGAATGGTACCTCCTTCGTTTATGGCCCGTTCTTTCTGCTGTTATCTCACTCACAGAGATCTTTCATTTAGGTCCTCTTTCTTTTTTTCTTTTCTTTCTTTCTTTTTTTTTTTTGGCACAGTGTCTTGGCTTTCCATGCCTGTGCAACTGTCATGGCTTTTTAGCCAGATCCGAATGCCATAAGGGTTGATTCTGAGGCCAGAGTGCTGTTTGGGACATCTGCCATTCTATGAATCTGCTGTGCATCCTGCTTCCCATGTAGGATCATTCTCTCTTTTTTAATTCTATCAATTATTATTTGCAGACATTGGTCTTACTTATGTAATCCCTATCTTTCTGATCAATTATGAACTTAAACTGATCACTTTAACAAGTAAAATGGCATTGGTACATGCCACTTTGATAGGATTGAACTGGAATCCCCTGGCACGTTTCTAGCTCTCATTAGAAGTAAGTCAGAGTGAGCATGTGCTGAACTGTACATCTATTTCCTCTCTTGTTCCCACTCTTTTATTTAACAGGAATCACTTTTCAGTTAAATGACTGAGAATAATTGTGTGTTAAGTAAAGAGTTCAACCAATGCTATTAAGTAGAACAAAAAAAATACTAAAAGGAATAAAATAGTAAGTTGTTCCTCAACAGTCAGGACAAGGGCTGATCAAATCATTGTTTCTCATAGTGTTCATTTAACTTCTGCAGGTTTCCTTTTAGGTGTTCAGTAAGTTGTCGCTGATCAGGGAGAACATATGATATTTGTCCCTTTGGGACTGGCTTGTTTCCCTCAGCATGATGTTTTTCAATTCCACCATTTTTTAAAACTTTTATTTAAGAAATATAAATTTCCAAAGTATAGCTATGGATTACAATGGCTTTTCCCACCCATAACTTCCCTCCCACCTGCAACCCTCCCATCTCGTGCTCCCTCTCCCATTCCATTCGCAT